TCAGTTCTTCTGTGAATATGCCTAGAAGTGGAATAGCTGGAATAAATGGGATTTCCAATCCCAGCTTTTTGAGAAATCTCCAGACTGACCTCCACAAAGGTTGTACCAGTCTACACTCCCACCAACAGTGTAGAAGAGTTCCTTTTTCCCCACAGCCTCTCCAGCATTTGTTGTTGTTGGTTTTCTTGATCCTGGCCATTCTTTCAGAAGTGAGTTGCTATCTCAGTGTGGTTTTAATTTGCATTTCTCTAATGACCAATGATGATGAACATTTTTTCATGTATTTATTTGCCATTTGCATTTCTTCATCTGAGAAGTGCGTATTCATCTCAGATGCCCATTTTTGGATTGGATCTTTGAATTTTGGGGGTCTGAGTTTTTTAATTCTTTATATGTTTTAGACAAGAGTCCCTTGTCTGAGATAGAGTTCACTAAAATCTTTTCCCAGTTTGTGGGTTTTCTTTTCACTATGTTGGAGATTTCTTTTGACATGCAGAAACTTTTTAATAACAACTGGCCCCAGTTATTGATTCGGGGAAGTATTTCCTGTGCGGTTTGAGTCCTGTTCATGAATTCTCTACACACTCCCATGTCTTCAAAGTTTCTACCCAATTTGTCTTCCAATAGATTTAGTGTGTCGCTTTTAATATTCAGATCTTTGCCCCATTTAGATTTTAATTTAGTACATGGTGATAGACATGGGTCTAGCTTTAGTTTTCGGCAAATGGAGAGCCAGTTTTTCCAGCACCATTTATTAAAGAGACTGTCGTTCTTCCAGTGAACCTGCTTGGCTCCTTTATCAAAGATAAGGTGGTTGAGTGTGTTTGTAGTCGTGGTTGTATCTTCTAATCTATTCCATTGATCTTCGCCTCTGTTTTGATTCCAATACCATGTTGATTTTACTACTGTTGCTTTGTAGTATAACTTCAAGTCAGGGATTGTGATGCCTCCTGCTTTGTCTTTGCTGCTTATAATTGCCTTTGCTATTCTAGGTCTCTTCTGGTTCCAGATGAAATTTAGGAGTGATTTCTCTAGATCTATAAGGTATGTTGATGGTATGTTTATTGGGATTGCATTGAATCTGTATAACAGTTTTGGGAGAATGGTCATTTTCACAATGTTTGTTCTTCATATCCATGAGCAAGGGATGTCTTTCCATTTTCTGAGATCATCTTTGATTTCTTTTTTCAGTGCATTATAATTTTCACTGTATAAGTCCTTCACTTCTTTCGTGAGAGTAATTCCTAAATATTTCATTTTTTTGCTTGCTAATGTGAAGAGTGTAGTTTCTCATATTTCCCTCTCTGTGATTTTGTTGTTCGTGTATAGGAATGCTATTGATTTCTGAGTATTGATTTTGTATCCAGCCTCATTACTGCATTTATTTTTTGTATCTAAGAGTCTTTCAATGGAGTTTAAGGGGTCTTCTATATAGAGTATCATGTCATCTGCAAACAATGATAATTTAACTTCTTCTTTTCCTATCTTTACCCCTTTTATTTCTCTCTCTTGCCTAATTGCTCTGGGTAGTACTTCCAGTACTATATTAAATAGGAGTGGTGATAAAGGATATCCTTGTCTTGTGCCTGATTTTAAAGTAAAGGCTTTCAATTTTTGGCCATTTAGTATGATACTGGCTGTTGGTTTGTCAGAAATGGCCTTTATTATATTGAGGTAAAGACAATCTATTCCAATTTTCTGTAAAGTTTTTATCATGAATAAATGTTGGACCTTATCTAAGGCTTTTTCTGCATCTATAGAAATGATCATGTGATTCTTATTTTTGGCTTTATTGATATGGTGGATTACATCTATTGATTTATGTATGTTGAACCATCCTTGTATTCTTGGGATGAATCCCACTTGGTCATGGTGTATAATCTTCTTGATGATTTGCTGCATCCTATTTGCCAATATTTTATTGAGGATTTTTGCATCTGTGTTCATTAGGGAGATCAGTCTATAGTTGTCTTTTTTAGTGGGGTCTTTCTCAGGTTTTGGTACTAGAGTAATATTTGCTTCCAGGAATGTCTTAGGAAGGATTGCTTCCCTTTCCAGTTTCATTGAATAGTTTGAGGAGTGTCGGCATTAGGTCTTCTTTGTGTTTCTTGTAGAATTCTGCAGTGAATCCATCTGGGCCTGGGCTCTGCTTTGTAGGTAAGGACTTAATTACATTTTCAATTTCATTAACAGAAATTGGGTTATTCAACAGTTTTACATCCTCTTGATCTAGCTTTGGTACTTCATATGTTTCTAAGAATCTGTCTATTTCTTCTGTGTTATCAAACTTTTGAGAGTAGAGGTTTTCGAAATAGGTGTTGATGATCCTCTGTATTTCTATTGGGTCTGTAGTGATTTCACCTTTTTCATTTCTTATTGCATGAATTTGAGCTTTTTCTTCCCTTTTTCAAATAAGGTTGGCTAAGGGCTTATCGATTTTATTTATTCTTTCAAAGAACCAACTCTTTGATTCGTTGATTCTTTGGATTGTTTTCTTAGTCTCTATTGCATTGATTTCTGCTCTGATTTTTATAATTTCCTTCCTTCTTTTGGCTTTGGGCTTGACTTGCTCTTCTTTTTCTAGCTGTTTGAGGTGTAGCATCAAGTTATTTATTTGTATTCTTTCTGTTTTCCTGATGTGGAAACTCAGTGCAATAAATTTTCCTCTGAGGACGGCTTTCATTGCATCCCACAGATTCCGTTAAGTTGTATCTGAATTTTCATTTTCTTTTAGGTATTGTTTAATTTCTTCTTTAATTTCTTCTATGGCCCACTGATTACTCAAGAGTGTGTTATTCAGTTTCCATGTGTTTGCGGGATTTTTGCAGTATCTTTTATCATTAATTTCTAATTTCAGAGCGCTATGATCCGATAACATGCAAGGGATGATTTCAACTCTTTTGCATTTGTTTAAATATGTTCTGTGAACTAATATATGGTCTATTTTAGAGAATGATCCATATACTGCTGAAAAGAATGTGTATTCTGATGTTGTTGGGTGGAACATTCTGTATATGTCTATCAAATCCATTTGTTTGCAGGTGTGATTCAGTTCTGTTATTTCTTTGCTCATTTTCTGTCTGGTTGATCTGTCCCTTGGTGTCAATGACCTATTATGGTCTCCTGTTACAATTGTGTTACTGCTAATTTGAGTTTTCATTTCTGTTAATTGTTGTTTTATATAACTGGATGCTCTGGAGTTTGGTACATATATATTTAAGATAGTTATCTATTCCTCTTGGGGTTTTCCCCTTACGAGTATGTAGTGACCTTCTTTGTCCTTTATGGTCATTGTTGGTTTAAAGTTCACTTTGTCTGCAAACAGAATGGCTACGCCTGCCTTGTTTTGGATTTCTGCTGCATGATGTATTGTTTTCCATCCTTTGACTTTCAGTCTGTGAGTATCCTTCTGGGTTAGATGGGTTTCCTGTAAACAGCATATGGTTGGATTTTGTTTCTTGATCCATTCTGCTAGTCTGTTTCTTTTGATTGGTGCATTGAGACCATTTACATTAATGGTTATTACTGTTAAATGCTGGTTTATTGTTGACATGTTATCTCTCTGCTGTTGCATCTTTATCTTTCTGTTCTGTTTAATTATCTGTTTTGCTTAGTGGTTTTTTCCTTTGTGTATCTAAACTGTCTCTCAATATTTTTTGTAGGGTTGGTATGGTGTTCATGAAGTTCTTCAGCTGTTCTTTGTCATGGAAGTATTGTATTTCACCATCAATTTTGAATGATAGTTTTGCAGGATACATCAGTCTAGGTTGGAAATCATTTTGGTTTAGGATCTGGAATACTTTACTCCATGCTCTTCTTGACTTTATTGTTTGTGCTGAGAAGTCTGCTGTGATTCTGATAGGTTTTCCTTTATAAGTGATCTGTCTTTTCTCTCTGACAGCTTTTAATAATCTATTCTTGTGTTGGATTTCTGGGATGGTGATTATTATATGTCTGTGTGTAGTTTTATTTTGGTTATGACTATTTGGAGTTCTATATGCTTCACTGATCCTGATGTCTGTTTCTGATCTCCTGCTTGGGAAATTTTCAGCTATTACTTCTTTAAATATCCTCTTGACATCCTTTATGTTGTCTCCTTCTTTTTCATTAATCCCTATCATTCTTATGTTATTTCTCTTTGGGTCATCTTGCAGTTGGTGAATTGTTGTTTCCTGATCCCTTGTTAGTTTTAAAAGATCTTTCCTTTCCTGTTCACTAGCTGGAATCCTGTCTTCAAGGTCTGAAATTCTGTCTTCACTTTCATTAAGGCGGTTTTTACAACTTTCGGTGGAGTTTTTTATTTCCTGCATATCTCTGTGCATCTGCATTATGTATTCTGTTTGTTTCTTATATTGCTCGTCTAGCGATTCTATCTTTTTGTTTAGTTCCTCCAATTTCTTCTCTGTGTTTTCTTTAGATATATTCAGAATCTCTTTCATTTCTTTTATCATTTCTTCTTTTACCTGGGAGATTATTTCGAGTTTGAATTTCTTTAAAGCTTCCTGGAGTTGCTTGTTAATTTCAGTAGCTATTGTGTCCGATATTTGAGGTGAATGGCATGTAATTTCCTCTATATACATTGCACCTAGGGTTTCTTGAGATGGGCTGGAGGTTTGAGGTTGTAATTTGGTCTTTTGTTTTGTTATTTTTCTATATTTCTGTGTTTCAAGTGTTATTTGAAAGCTTCCTCAGGATCTGTTGGAAATCTCCTTGTATGTTTGCAGCTACTGAGACTCTGGCACCACGCTACCCCATGCCACTGGGCCTGCAGAACCAATGGCCCTCCTCTGCCTGCTCAGAACTCCGCAGTTCCAGAGAAGCTGGGCCTCAGGGACACTATGTGCCCACCTGCCCGTTGGAAGCTCCATGGCTCTCCAATAGCAGCCAGGATGTGGAGGCAGATGTAGACGCCCCAAACCCACCTCTCCAATTCACTGCACCTGGAATCCTGGAGGGACCCAAACAGTCTGGGCTCTGGGCCGAGTGTTCTGACCACTCACCGCAGGCTGCGGGGCCTCCAGAACCTGCGATGCTCCACTGCCCACCGAGTCATGCACAGTCCTGCAGACACACGGGGAGGTTGATGCAGGTGCCTCAGATCCGCCAAGCCCCTCCTCTGCACACCGATGGCGAGGTGTGGGAGGCCCAAACAGGCTGGGCTACGGGGATAGCATGGGCCCGCCCACCCGTTGGAAGCTCAGTAGTTCTCCAAGTGCAGCCGGAATGGGGAGGCAGATGTAGGGGCCTCAAACCCACTTTTCCACTTCACTGCACCTGGAAGCCTGGAGGGTCACGAACAGTCTGGGATTTGGGCAGAGTGAGCTAAGCACTCACCACAGGCCGCAGAGACTGCGGAACCTGCGATCCCTCCCTGCTTGCTGAGATAGCCACAGTCCTCCAGACACACAGGGAAGCTGATGCTGGCACCCCATTCCGCCCAGCCCCTCCTCTCGGGGGCCCTCCTTCGAGTGCCACCTGTGAAACAGTCCAGTACCTGGCAATGAAGCACAGGGGAGGGAGACCAGTGGGGCCTCAGCATGGATGCTAAGCACACTGTGCGCCTTAGGTTAATTTTTATTCCCCACCCTAAGGACTATGGCAGAGTGGAGGGGTCACTGGAGAGCAGACCACTGTGAAAGAGAGAACACAGTGGCAATGAGCTTAATGGCAGCAGATTTTTGCATGCCCACTTCTCAAGCTGATGTCAGATCCACGCAAACTTACTGAAAAATTATTTGATTTTGTGTCAGAGTAATTGAACACAGCATTTTCTGCTTGGTCCTAGATGCTGGGCTTGGGCACATGTCTCTTGGCTATCCATGACAGCCCATGCCCACTTACACAGCAAGTTTTGTCCCATTCCACTCTTGTTCCACTCTTGTCACCATTCTTACTGGAGCTCTTAGGTCACTTGGGACTAAAATGCTTTGTTCTTCAATCCCTGAGCCTTGTCCACATCAACAGTTCACACTCACCACTTTGTGCAGCTCCCCCAACACCCCTCCAATCCAACTGTGCACCTAAGAAAACCCATACATTGTGTCAACTTGAGAAGTTCAGAAGCTTAACTTCAGCAAGCCAGGGTCTTTGCTTTATAAACATCCTCATCCTGTACAGGAGGAAGGCTAGGATATGGTGCCTGAAAGGATTTTGCCCTAGATAGGATACTATGGCAGTGAGAGGAGGAACCAAGGGGCTTTACCTTGAGGTCATCTTCCCCGCCCTAGGCAATTTACCTGTGTTGCGAAATGAATTCCAATGGGCTACCTGTGCATCAGTAATGCCTCTTAGGCACCACCCCAGACCAAAGCTATATGTATGCCCCCCACACCATGTGTCCAGCAGAGAAAAGCCCGACCCCGGAGATCATGAGGCTCTCTCCGCGTTCTTAGAATAAGGGCCACTTTTATTTCGTATTTCCCATCTCTCTAACCATGCCGAAAAACCTATCAGTGTGAGTGCTACACTCCCCACCCTGGATGGGGGTGGCTTGCTTACACTAGAAAGGTGCTCTTCTCCTCTCTTGCTCTCACTGCTTTTCCCATCTTCTGCCATCTTGAACTGTTGCTTCTGTGCCATGACACCTTGCCTTGGAGCTAGTTGATTACGGACTGAAACCTCCACAATCTGCGAAGCAAACATTTCCTCCCTTAGATTTGAGTGTCAGATATTTCCTACCAGCAATGAGAAAAGTAACCAACACAGGGTCTCAGTTCTTAATGGGCTTTGACCATCCTGCTGCCCCTTGTAATATATACATGTAGATGTACATTTGCATCTTTTCTGTGTTTTATTCTGTCATCATACCCCTGAGCAGGAGATTGGTGATTGGTGGTCCTAGGTGAGGACCCCAATAATACCATTTGTGCAAAGAAAAAGGAGATTTTTACTAGGAGGTTTAGATTTTCGTTGGAACATCAGGAACAGAGTGTGAGCATTAGAAATATAATTTGTAGTTATCAGCTTGATTCTCTCACACTGTATTTGTAAATAAGTATAGTTGCAGAAAGTTCAAATGAGATTTTAGGATGAATTTCTATTTGTATATAAAAGCTCTCTGACAGGTATTAAAGCTGTGGATTGCTTTGTGTGGTATTAGTTCATTTTGTGCTGTTATAGAAGAATATCATGAGCTGTATGATTTGTTTTTTTGTTTTTGGTTTTTTGAGATAAGGTGTTACCATATATTTTCCAGGCTGGCCTTGAACTTCTGGCAATCCTCCTGCCTCAGCCTCCAAAATGTTGGCATTACAGTCATTCACCCTCTCAGGTGGGCTGTTTAATTGATAATGACAAGAAATTAATTAACTAATTAATTGTGTAGGGAATTAAATCTGGGTCCTGAATATTCTAAAGGGAGAAAATTATTATCTTCACACTAGGCAAGCACTCTGTAACTGAACTACAACCCCATACAGGCTTTAGATTTATGAGATTCTGTCATTTGCAAACAGAGATAATTTTATTTCCTCTTTGCCAATTTACATGATTTTACTTTGCATTGCTGTCCAATTTTTCTAGTTATAACTTTAGTACGGTGCTGAAAATACCTGGTAAAAGTATATGGAAAAAGATCTCATGACTACTATCGTTGAACACACTAGACTTTGCTAAATACCTTATCCATGAGGCATTCAGTTCTTTTCCTTGGTTCTGTTAATGTGGTATATTATGTTGACTGATTTTCACATGTTGAGCTGTGGAGGACCACCTGGATGACTCTGCTTGGAAAAAGCTCAGTTATCTCCATTTTGGCTAAAGCTGGCCCTGTTTCCATGTATTGGTATGTACAGAGCTGGCTAGGCCATTTCCTTATCCCTTCAATTGGCTTTTAACACTGCAAATCAGTCTGGCTAAGGTGCTATTGTGTAGTGTTTGAAGCAAGGCAACAGTCAGTGTTTCCCCACCCCCAAACTCCCAAAAACCATGTGTGAGCTGAGCAGGATGGAGAGCCAGGCTCCACAGGATTTAAAGGATTACAAAATGAAGCACTGACCCTAAAACATTAGATACTGCCTTGAGCTGTGTTATGAAAATTACTCCTTTTGTATTTCCTTCCCTCTGCCTAGAGAACTTCAACCCAGGTAACTAGCCCAGCTCTTGGGGCCACACACTTCCCCCCACTCTCACAGTCACTCATTCCCAAGTCTCTGTCTCCTCACTGAGAATTAATAAAACCTGGGTTTGGTCATGGGTTTTGGCCTTTGTTTGGGTGAGCCGCCATCTTGGCTGGACTTAGGACCCTCTTGGTTGCCCAAAACTATAAAAATGTCTTTCTACCTTTATTCTTGCCATGGGCTACCTGGAAGTGGTAGAATGGGATGAAGTTATTGGAATTCCAATAACTACTCCATGGGTTTACAAATATAAACTTCTGGGGCTGGGGGTTTAGCTCAGCGGCATAAGCACCTGCCTTGAAAGCAGGAAGTCATGAGTTCGATCCCCGGTACCGATAAAAAGGAAAAAGACAATAAATAAATAAATAAATAAATAAACTTCTTGGACTGAGACAAGGACTGGGAAAGTTTTCTCCATATTGAGCCACTGTTCAATTTCAGGCAAAAATTTTACTCGGTTGTTGGGGACCACAAATTTACAGGGACTAATTTTGCATACTTCTCTAAGGGATAAATGGAGGCTTGGGATTATGACATCATCTCTTTGGTTTGAGACTTTTGATTAACTCTCTTGGAATGGGCTATCTTCTCCCACAGACTAAGAATCAACTAAAACTATTAAAATTTTTAAAAAGACCAAAGGGCAAAATCATCAGGGTAAGATCATCCCTGTCTGATATGGGCAGAAAAACGACAGGCTCCATAAAGTAAAAAAAGGAAGCACTTTATTTGCTGAGCTCAGTGGCCACACCATCCGAAAGGGCAACCTGGGGAAGTGCAGGGGGACCTGCAGGGAGCTATTTATAGCTTCCTGCAACAAGCCACAACAACAAGCCACAAGGGGAGGGGTCTGGATCTGAGGATCAGGTTGCTTCCCTAAAAGACAACTTGTTGAATTTCTCTCAGAATGCATAAATCTCAGGACATCGGGGAGTGGGACAAGCAGTTACAGGAACCAAGGAAATAGGGAGGGGATTATGGGGTAGATGTGTTACAGAATGGAAACCAGTTATAAGGCCACACTGAGTAACCATCACAGCACCTTTTGAGGTTATGGTTATAAAGTTGCAACTTAACTGACAATTACACAAGTTTTACAGGAAGAGAACAAGTTATAATAAGTATAGCACATTTTGGGTTTTGGGGTTTATAACACTGTCCTTTTGAGTCACCCCAGGATTATCCACTGCCTGCTGAGTCACTGACCTCTGAGTCTTCTGCTGACCTTGAATCTTCTACTAGCCTTCTTACATCCAACAGAGTAGCTGGTTGGAAGCATCTTGGCCTCTGGCTGCCCTGAGGCATTGACCTTACAGCCCTGCATCATGCATTAATAAATTTGTCTCTTTCCTATTTCATCCTTTTGCCTTACCTGTCATACAGGCAGTGAGCATCTTGCCCAGGTCCTCGATACTCAGTAATGGTAAAACTCTTTTATTATTCTCTTGAATTTAGATTTGTAGTACTTTGTTCAACATTTTTGCTTCTGTATTCATAAATGAAATTTTTGCGATGAATCTTTGGGTTTGGTGTCAGCGTAATGCTGGCCTCATAGGATTTTAGTAACTATTCCTTCCTCTGCAAATTTTTAGAAGAGTGTCAGAAAAAATGTTATTAATTATTCTTTAAATGTGTGCTAGAATTAACCAGAGGTTGTCAGGTCTTAAGATTTCCTTGGTTAGGAGGTTTTAAATGACCTGTTCAATTCCTTCACTTGCAATAGAACTATTCAAACTTGTTATTTCTTCTTAAGTCAATATTGGTAATCTTGTGTCCCTAAGAATGTATTCCTTTCAGCCTTCTGGGGAAGTGGTGAAGCAGTAAAAAGCACCAAGTCAACTCTCCAAATTCAGAATACAGACACTGGGAAATAACAACTTGTGGAAGGAAAAAGGTGATAGGTGGATCTCAGGGACCAAGAATTAAAGGGGAAATGAGAGCCCACAGAGAAACTGAAAAGACAGACCACAAAATAATGAAGGGACGATGTATACTTTCTCTCTGGTTCTGGCTCCTGGATTAAGAAAGCCAAGGTGAATCTACTGAGACACAGTGAAACTGGGTGACTGCAGTGGCCTCCGGGGATAAATGCATCAGTGGAATGAAGCAGTGGATGCTTCAGGCTAGAACTGCTACAGCACCTGCAGTGTCCCCTGGAGACAGTCTGCTTAGTCAGATGTCATTTTAGGGAAAGGCCGACTCACCCCTGAACTAAGAGCAATTGTGGGTAGGCTTCAGCTCAGGACCTTCACTGTTGAACCCCTGCAGTGATTTGGTGCTGAACAATCAATGGAGATGCCCCGGGTTAGGGAACTATGGTCAAGCAGGCAAGAGACGCCCAGTGAATAATAAACTATATGACTGGGGCCTCGACCCCAACTACAAGAGGCCAAGCCCAGTCTGAATTTCTGTGGATTGGAAAGTACTACGACCAACATCCTGCCCTAGATTTACTGCAGGCTTGCTGGGATTATGCAGCACAGATCTGGTCTCTGACTGCCTCCTTTGTCTACAAGTCAGAGCAGAGACATGCCTCGAGTTAGACACCACCAGGAAACCTTGGAAAAAGATAATCACAAAAGTTTGAAATCACAGAGAAGTTATTTCCCGCTGAGGTTTTTCTTCTTTCCATTTATTTCTTTTGCTGTTGTTTTTGTTTTATGTAATGAGTGTGAACACTGTGTTTAGTGTTTTGTTTTGTTCTTGTCTTTTCCTTCTTTCCTTCCGTCTTGTCTCTTCATCAGTTTCCTGAAGCTTAGGTAATCTTCCCT